CCAAGTCCAAATCTGCAAGCTTGTTACATTATGTCAATGGTCGCGAGAACCACCTACCACCAAACTGGGGTTACCATGGTGTAGTTCACACTCGATTAATAAGGCGACCGGTTAACTGGCACAAAGAAATTCTCACCAAATGTCTACCATAATGTGATCTTATTTAGTCAATTTTTTACTGTTCCGTTTGCAAGTATTTTATTGTCGTCGAGAATAACCGCATCAATCTCCATGGTACCACGGGACTTTGATATCTCTTGTCCACTTACATATGAATCCGAGAATAACCTCTCCCTTGTCGCATCCAGTGACCTCGGAATCGCACCAGCATTCTCCCGCATCAGAATAACATTCTATGTGAATACATCAAATAACTGTCGTGGGACAAGTGGAAAAAGTAAAAAGAGTAAAAAAATATTCATGTGAACGGACAGAAGAGTATGCTAATGAATATTTTATCAGCACAGCTGCTCTGTCTCAGTGGACGGAAGAAAATGAAGCTCACTGAACTGACCTATCGAATTCACTTCCAGAACCTCCGTAGTACTTGACATGACTTTATCCGGGTTTCGATCCTCTCTACAAAATCCGTGACACAATCCAAAGCAAGGAATTCGCCCTGACCACGTAATTTCATTGAAACGCGCGAAAGTGAATACAATAATTTGACTCAGTAACGGCCTGCAATTGGACAGAAGGCATGATGTACAGCATCGGGAATGCCTCATTTCCTTACGAGTTAAAGCTGATCCCGATTTGAACGTGGTCGCAAGGAGCTAGATCCAATTCAATGAATTAAAAACAGCGCCAATATAGGAATTCAGTGGAGAAATTTACCGGTAATAGGTTTTATTTGACCCAATACTACAACGCAGAAGATCCTGTGATAGAATATCAGTACCTCATGCACTAAATTTTCTTTAACCTGCCGGGTGCAAATAAATAAACTCGACGACCACTGATAAAAGACCGATTCACTCAAAGCGTGCTACCGGAAATAAGAGCTGGCTTGTTGTCCGCTTTGTGGACGACATGAATCAACTGCGGATGATTGCAAAAAACTGTCAGGATGGTGTCGCATTAATTCTAGTGGACTTGTGCACAGTAAAGGCTGACATCGAGCACCTAACTAAAGACCTAGTAAGATAATGGACGGCAATTAGACGCAAACCGCAAAAGAAACCACACAGGCTAACAAACGTCTACTTCCTATGTCATTGCACTGGATGCTTTTTCCACCATCCAGAAAAGATTGAGACAGGATAGAGAGGCTTGTGGTTCGACAAGCAGGTGAACGGAGCAACGCAAAAAGGCGCGGTATCATCACGAACACCAATCACCGAAATGGAAACCGTTCGAACCAGGTCAGTTGGTAAGTGAAAGTTCAAGGCTGACCTTAACTTACAGGGCATTAATCCGTGAAGTTAAGCAGCTACGGATGAGGCCATTCACCGTTCTTTAGTAGGAGAACGCCATTTTTCAGAGTAATCAGGGGCTCACAATGCAGGCGCATAGATGGCAAAGCTCCGGCGCAGTAGTGCATCCAAGGCGAGTCTAGTGTGGGAGAATGTAATGAACGAACGGGGACATTAATGAATCGGAAAAATAACAGTTCTTTCAGCAAAGCACATGAACGTGGTGGTCAGCATCAACACTCAAGACAATCCGGAACGAACGAGGTGACGGCCGTTGGCCGGTGTACGATCTGCAGATGACTACAAATACGGCCCTGAAGTAATCCAACCCCAAAGCAATCAAACGGTACATCGATCCCAACGATTGAGTCAAAGAACAAGAGATATGCCACTTGCCAATGCCTGGCCCAAAGCGTTAGAGAGTAATTTTGTATCATCCAACTTTGCGATAGAGAAACAGCTTCCCTCTAGGTCCCGTTCATGAGCGGATAGTTGCCCATTCCAAATGACAATTCCAGGTTGCCGCACTTCCAAATCTCAATCAGCTTTTCCCCCAAAAACAGCATAACTGTAAAGCATTCTTCGTTTTGTTCTTTCCTCTTACTTACAACATCCTTATCTGTAAATGCCTAATCAACAAGCTAGTTGTGACTTCACTATTCCCTTCACTGTCTCATGTGCAGTTTATCCTCCGTATTAACTTGTGTAAAAAAACAATCTAACGGAACGCCCACGTGGAATGCTTTTGAATTGGAGCAGTACACGTTTGTCTATTGGCCGTCCTTGTCTTCGTTCGGATGTGCAGATCCGGTTTCCTCGACTCACTCTTGCAGTATTACGATGACAAGGATGCTCAAACATCGGCAGTCACTGTGCATGTTCAACACGTCTGTGTTTTTTGGGTTGCTGTAAAACAATAGACATGTATACGTAAGTACGACGAATTTCCTTGTTCACTGTCATTCTCATTTTCTGTTCACATTTGGTCTCTCACGCACAGATCACATTTGATGGTACAAATCTGACGGACATAGACGTCAAATGGTTTCGGGCTCAAATCGGTACCGTTCAACAAGAGCCAGTTCTTTTTACCGGTACGGTTGCGGAGAATATTCGTTGCGGTGCCTTGAATGCGACCGAGCAACAAGTGATTGAAGCCGCTAAACAAGCTAATGCGCATGATTTCATTGTCAAGTTACCGGAGGTATGTTTTTTTGTGCTGTCCGTATCTCATTGGTCTCTCGTCGATTATGCTTTGCTTAGAACAAACTGAGATGGACTAACTTTATCTCACTATCCCCTAGAGGCTGATACTATCAATCATCTTTGTGTATTTCTTGTTAACCTCATACGAGACCATTAGTCCTTTTGAAATGTTGATCATAGTTCTTTTATGAACCGGTGCTGAACATCCTCGCCCATTGTAAACGTTTCCCGCATAGTGTGATTGGTAGATTGACATGAACCCGGTGTCGTTGCACACGGACCTGCCCACGATTTGACACAGATTCGTTGAAGATTTCCGGAATCTGAAATAATTTTGAGAATCACTAGCCTCTTTTTCTACACACCATTTGATTATTTCAACCTTCGTTCACTCTTGTTTCTTTTTACCCTGGCCTGTTGGTACGTTATGTGCCAAACAGATCATTTTATTGCTTTTCACATTTGTCTGAATGGATTGTGTCAATCAATTGGTTGTTCAAACATCTTTGAATCAGGAAAATCAATATATGATTTTATACCAGATATCGTTATGTGCTGAACAGCACGGCGGAATTTGGGTTTGGAAAATGGAGTCAGGCGGCTTTCAGACCCCGAGATCCAAAGCAAGCCGATAACAGATTTAAAACCGTTTGAACACTACCATCAACTAGTTGGTGTGCCCGGTACTCCCAGGATGACCAAACCGAAGCAAGTGTTTTTCTTAGGGATTCTCAATAGATAGGTTCGATCAGACAAAGTTTCGCATGACAAAAGAGCTAATGTGATTAAACAGGTTGCACTGGATCACGTGATCCCGGGTGCCCAATACATACCGTGTGGCCCATTTGACCTTATAAACTTCGCGACTGAATCAAATATTCTCGGGAGATTTAAATCCATAATTGCTCAGCCTCTTCTCTCCGATTGCGCTTTACACGAAGGTTTGCGCTAAGCTGTTGGTTGATAGGGGTCGGTCTGCAAACGCACACCTCAGAACATACGCGTACACGACGTTCAAAATGAGATCTGCCCCGAAGACGGTTAGAAGACGAGAAAGACTCACTCTGGAAAAATATATAAATAAACGTAGTGTTATGTGTAGTTTTAAAAGACACAACTGCAGAACCAAAAACGTTTGATGGCTGTCCAAATATACAAAAAAGGAGAAATATAAAAACCAAATCGTCTGGTGAACGCGAATCAAAAGGAAAAGGGCCATGATTTTGTTTAAGTTACAAATCAAATTCGATAGTGTGCATCCGAAACGTTCAGCAGCACATAACACTTGTCTACCAAGTGCGCTCAATCACTGTCTCACAAACATGCACCCTGGATAGGGTCCAGTTCATGCATAGTACCAAACCGTTCGAATGCACTCGGAAATAACTATCAGTTAATGAACACAAGGACAAATCTGGACACAAATGAAGTATGGTCGATTTTCGTTGACGATCCCCTGTCATTCACGGAAATTATACGCTACGGACAAACCTTTGGTTACAAATCTGATTGCATTGAGATTAGTGCGGTCGAATGAATCCATTTGCGCTCAGGAATTTAAAACAGCGCGCTACACACCATCTAGTTGATGCTGGTTATGTAATTTGAGTGGATCCTTTGCCTGACCTTCATCACCCCACCTGGACAAACTAATACATTCAAATTAATCCATACTTGTTGGCTCCAGTCACGTGTGCCAAAATCGTTATTGACCGTCCAACAAGTGTATGGTTGTGCTCTAACAGATGCGAACAGGATAAGGACATTAGTGATTATGCGAACGTGGACGTGGAACAGTGATTGCGTTTGACGTGTGCGAGTACACATGACCCGTGTCAGTGTTCTACAACCCTGGAGACAGCTTACTATGTTCTCGAATTTGTGCATCCGAAACGTTTTACGATATGATTATCTATCATTTGACTCAGTAGCAAGTTGCATCTGTCATGGATAACCAGAGGATGCAAATCGACTTTCTATATCCGACAACTGATGTCTTCAAAGCACTGCACATATCTGGTGGTCTGAGCAATGATGAGGTTCGTTGTCATTGTCCGTTTCCTAGAACAAGTAATCGCTCTACGGCACTTGAGATTGCTCGGACATGTCTTGCTTATCCCTGTCTGTCCTTTACCCCTCTGTATTCTCGGTATGCCAGGTAAAGCTCGAAGAAGCATCATGACAGTCAAACTATGATTTGGGGTAGGGGTTAATAAGAAGTTAACCTCGGGAATGGTTTCGGTTGGTACAGCTCACCTTCCAAGTTGGGATCTAAGAGATGTGGACTTGGTATGGTAAGAGACACTGAGAGATATGACTCAGAACACAAATCAGCGGCGCCATTGTTCTACGGTATAAAACCCCTTCCCCCATAAAAGTAAAAGCCACGGGAATACGCTTCAACCCCTTTTTCAATTTTATTATCGTACACAAACTCAACGTTTATGTTGTTACATTGGTATCTGTTTTGTTCTCAAACTGGATGATTATGGTCCACGTTATTGGTAGCACCTTTGAATATGGAACCCGTCATCTTCCTGAAACCAGTTTCTTCGGTTCACACCATTCCCTCAACTCCCACTTGTGGCTCTTCGATATTACTTGTATTTGACAATTACTACACATCTGCAGCCGATTGGCAAGTGAATCAAACCAAATCAGGTTAACCGCGTTTCTTGAAGCACGTTGAATCGCAGCTTCACCGCGTGAAACTGGACGGACCATTTAGTGTTCACGATCCAACGACTGCGTAGGTAGTTTTAATCTAAGTGAACAGTTGTGAAAATACCTCAAAACTGCATAGATTATGTTTAGTTGCGTAAACCTTTCGAGCTAAAGACCGAGCGAAGTCAGTTTCGTCGCTAGAACCGAACTTCCACAGCAGTTCAGGAACTGTGCATTGAGCTGGTTTTTTTCTCGATTTTGACTATTTCTAATCCTTACACGCCAAACATCGTCGTCCGCGAGCTTTTGATATACGAGCACAGTCGGAATTTAGAAACGAGCTGCACCGGAAGATCGGTTAGACGTCATTAATACGTGAGAGACAGTGGATTGCTATTTGAAATCGTATTCTGTATGTTTTAGATGGTCTAACCTAAAGTCACAGTAAGAAAGGTGTACGGTTTCCCGCGAAATTTTGAATTGATCCAGCGGGCTTAAAATATTTCAATGAATTACGATGGAAGTCAATTCAACCAACACTCGGCCAGTCTCGACGTTGACATCAACCAAAATAAATGAACGAAAAGAGCGATATACCGTTTTACTACTCATAAGTAGTAAGGTAATCGATAGAACGATGAATGGATTTGACGATAAATCATGATCTAGCTCCTTCTTTCCGCTGTTCATCTGGTCGCCCTAAGCTTCATCGCTTTTCATGTATCCCATGTTGGGTTGAAATGTATCGTATACCAGAAAACTAACGGATATTGCAGGTAACGTGTGGATGCGGTCTTAGTTGCTCTGTGGCCTCACATCCTCTTTGTGTACTTTTGATATTGTGCTAATAAATAACGAACTGTTTGATCGTGACTAGTATTCATGTTTGGGGAAACAACATTGAATCACATTCTTTTTCCCCGTTTATAGTTTACGAGCTGACGTGAGTGTTTATTGCTTCACTCTTCGTCCTTTTGTTTCGTGCCACCCTCGGTTCTACAGGCGATCATTGAGAACTAATTGCGTATAGTATCAGATATGCAATATTTTCGGGGCACACCCACTACGTATCATGTGGAAAATCTTCCGTAAAGTTCTATCTGTATGCTTGTGCAACCGTTTGGGCGTGGTGTTCTCTCTCACGCTACTATATCTTCCTGTATCATCTTTCGGTTCTCAGAGCTCCATTCGATGTAGTGTTTCACTTGTATTCCTGGTTTTTCGTTGATATAGAAACTAATTTGGGAATAATATCTTCAGAAATTCATTAAAGTTGTCTCTAAGGTCTGATGTTTTATTTATCCCCCCCTCCTCATACACACGCTCACTGAATAGCTCGAAATGTCCATTCAACAGCCATTATTTTCCGATAAAACTGCCGAGAATAATCCCGGTCAACCTCCCTTTACCTTTGTGCACCGACTGATACTTTAAGGGCGTTACATCCTACTTCCCCAGCATCACATTGCATTTTTAGACACACGAGCTTAGTAGAACGTGCATTCATCAGTGTTTTGCACATTCAATGAAAATCGGACTGTAATTTCTGTACTCTAAGCGTTCTATTGCCAGGGAATCGAAAAATAAGGCAACACGAAGGTGACCGTTCGCAAGATTTCAACCCCAATGGCCGGTGCTTTGTTTACATCAACCACCGATAGGCCCGCGTACGCTGCACATTAGTGCAGTTATGCCAAATGTATCCATGAAAGAATCGGCTCAGCACACATCAGTTTTCCCTTCAAGCAATGAGTGATAACACACTGCTTACCTACCTACCACGCCAACCAGTTAGCTGTTGACACCTTGTGATTCACTTCATCCAATCAATTTGGTCCATCACAATACAAACCTCCATATGCGTCCGTGATTTTATGTGCATGCCGTATGATTACAGGCTGATTGGTGGTTGATCATGGCTCAACTTTCAAAATGTGAAATATTAGTAAACTGGTTTTGGTTTCTTTATAACAAATCAAATCGGGTATTTATCATATCTGCGTAGTTACGCACTATGGTCTCTAGAAGTTAATCAGTTGATCGTTCATTGAATTAATCAGTTTTCAGTTTACACAGCTATTAAACCGGCGCCTTTATACATCGCTTTTGATTGTTTTTCTTCTGGCTGACTGATAACTAAGAAAAATATGGAAGAGGCATATCGCCACAGAGGGTACCAAGTTAAAAATGTAGTTTTGAAGTCAACTGAACGTCAAATGCGGGATGCACGAGCGTTCCTATTTACTACATACAGTCACGTCGGTTAGTGTCTGTAACCATCTATCAGAATGATCCCGCTGTCCCCAGCCAGAGAGTTCAATATCACATACGGGATTGTTCCTTGATCGGGATTTCCATGCCCTCATACCAGGTCTTAGTTTGACTACTCTTGATTTTCTTCCGCCCATTCGGCATCTTTTCGTGGATACTGCTTTCTTATTCTTTTCTGTTCTCCTTCATCCGAATAGGCAGCCATTAAAAAACGTGGTAAGAGTGCAACGTTAGCCATTGTTTGTACTGGAAAACCTCGTATTCATCGCTTAACTTCGGCTTCACTTATCTGATCTTTGATCAAACCTGTACAGTTGTTTTCCAACACCGATGACTTATTTAAATTCTTCTCCGGTCTTCACAATGTCGCTTCACCGAAACTGTTGAAGCATACCCTCGACCCTTCACTGACAACTGGTTGTAGTTCTAGCACGCTAGACGTTTCCAGTTTGCAAACACCAATCGATTCTTTCCAATACTTCACCCACCGGAGGGTTGTGACTGTCTGTTCCCTCTCCAGTTAGAGGAAGGTTAAAACCTGTACCATGACAATTCGAATATAGTTGTTCACTCCCTGAAGGTGGAAAACGCCTACCGAGCATAGATAGCTACACTGTTAATCAAACCATCCAAAAGCTTGTAACTCGGTCAGATTTTCACTCCTGTCTCAGTGCACTCCGTACATTTTAGATCAGACGACTGAAAGTACATGAACGTCACTATTCTAGCACGAGAACAAAGCCGTTACCACAATAAAGTTGTAAAAGAAAGAGGGTAGATAGAAACCATGACGAACTCGGATGAGCAAGAACATTAGGCTTTGTTACCTTCAGAATGAATTATTCAGTCAGTCTTGTCTTAACCACCCGGAATTCACTTGATTTTTGACCTCGAGGACCGTTCCTCGAAATCCGTCTTTTACCTGTAGATTGAGTTTGTGTCCAGCCAAGCAAACAGCATCTCGTATGATTAATTTCTGTTTCATCGTTGGTTTGATGACCGACAAAAGGCACTGGACAGTCATTTTGTCCTTCTTTGAAACTCACCATCAAGGTGCACTATTTTCGTATCCCTACCAGGACTGAATCTGCGAATCTTTGGAGCTGAAGTTCGAAATTTTACCCCCAATCTAGGCGGTCGACGACTGATACCTTGGGTGCAATAATCATTATGGACATAACCTGACCTTGTGCAAATTCTCAAACATAAGAAGAAGATCTGGTCCTCTGTGAATCTGCATAGTACAAGGTGACATCTCTGATTCGATTTTATTCTGTCATTCAGGTGTGCTGCGGAATTCAGTTCACACTCACCACGTTTGTCCTCAAAAGTTGCTTTCATTCTGTATCACAATAACTGCCTTACGGAGCTTGATAGCCATTCACCGGAAGTACCGACTGCTTCATTGCTGAGGTGATGCGTGTTTGCGAGACTGATAATCTAGCACATCTTCTGTTTTATACGGAGTTCCGTTTTGGTCAGTCCGTGCAATTTGTTCTGTCTCAGCTGTTTGTTTTCGTCCTGTAACCGAATCAGTTCAATTTTGTTCCTCTGGTGCATTACACTTACGTACCGGCGACGTTCTACTAGCGTTGTGCTAGCAGCCCCAATACAGTATACATTCCGTCGAAACAATATTTTATAAAATTTTATCGCTCGTTGTTGGCTTACAAATGCTGAGGTCATAATAACCCAGACCAAGTAAATCCCGAACTGATCTCGTTCTGTAAATTTATTTCGGTTGTGCACTCACTTGTTCCGTCATTTTGATTTTCTCTCAGGGTTATCGAACTCAACTAAACCAGAACGCCACCGGATTGTCTGTCGGGCAAAAACAGCGTATCGCTATCGCTCGCGCACTTATCCGTAACCCGCGTATCCTCATTCTGGATGAGGCTACCTCGGCCTTGGATAGCCAGTCGGAAGCATTGGTACAAACAGCACTCAGTCGAGCTTGTGTCGGAAGGACTGTGTTCGTTGTCGCACACCGTCTATCCACCGTGCGCACTGCGGATCGCATAGTGGTTTTGGATCGCGGTCATGTGAAGGAGATTGGGACACACGCCGAACTGGCACAGGCCGGTGGCTTGTATGCCACGCTACTAAATGCACAGGTCAGTCTGGTCTGCCTACTCGTGTTTGATATGCCACTTTCGTATCGTGCCCACTGACCGCACTCAATCTTCCAAGGCGGTGTCTGTATTGCTCACGGATAAACAGGGTGATCAGTTGCGGCATTTGGGACACTGCAATGCAATACTCCTAGAACAAACCGATGGTGCTTTTACAACATAAACTCGCCGGCCACTCCCACTCAATCATGTTACCAGGGCTGTTCATTTGGAACTGCGTATGATCGATTGTATCGAAATCTTGTTTGACTCACCGCTGGGTCTATCACAGGCCATAATGATCACTGCTCAAGTAACATAAAGATAACGACCCAGGTCCCGCTCAGAGCACAATTGCATAACATAGCATAAGTTTCACAGTTTACCTGACGACTGCGCGCTTCAAGTAGATACGATGGTGTACAATGCAGCACCCCCCAGACGGACTGAATGAATAGAATGAGCTCACTGTCGGTAATAAAAAAGTGCATAATAAAAGTTTGTGATGCATAAATCCGTGTAAGATGTACCCATCCATATCGTCATATATTTCTAGTCCGAGTCTAGGTGGGCCTCTCGGTGCCCTATTAAGTAATCTAGCACAATTTACTCCATTCATTCCATTAATCATGTTCCCAACATAGTCACGTGATGACCTCTTTCATATTCCTTTTTCCAGCAACCACCCCAGCTGCTATTGCATGCCCCGGTAAAAAAACAGCACACGTATGGTTCGACCATCTCAATTTTGGTGGCGAGATAATATAAAATCCTCTTTCTGACCGATTCACTTCACTCGTTGTAGTTATAAGTTGTCCCTATTTCTTCCTGCTCTCCCCGTTCCACATACTGGTTCGTGTTCACGCTCGAACAGCAACACACAACTCTGGACGAGGTGGTAGCGAACGGAGTGATGGGGACCAACGAGCGCGAGACACTGTCTAGTGTCACTGAACCCCTTCTAACCCAACCGGACAAATCCACTGAAGGTGATGATCGCGCGTTATCACAAGAACTTTTCGGGGTAGGTTAATGTGCCATTTCATGGGTCTGAAGTGTACAGTCGTCAGTGAACGGATTTTTCTGTGATCATTTCAATTGAAACCACTTCATTCTGATCTCTGTGTTTCGTTCTGTCGTTGTTAACTACTCTGAATTCGCATTATGGATTTAAGGATGCACTGCACTTCTTGGTGATTTGATTATTTTCGCATCACTTTTGATACTAGCTAAATCTATCAGCTTTTCGATAGTTATTTCTGAAATGCATATCTTTTTTTGTTTTCCACATCACCCCGCCTGAACTTCGTTTTCTTCATTTGAAGCGACAGAAATATCATTTCCTTTTCATTGAATAGTCAATGATACAATTCTCAGGACGGAGGAAGCGACCAATCAAAGGGCTGCCATTCAACATAAATGCTGAGTGTCAATCAGTGGTGATGGGATTCAAGTACATGTTTTTCAGATGATCTTTACCACTCGACCACCACCGCCCCAGAATTTTGACGCAACTATCCTCATTTGAGCCTTATTTTACTTAGGGGCAGACGATCCGGTTTGGCTAGTGCTACTGTTCGCGGCAAACCTCCGTGTCCCGATCATTTTGGGGATTGGGTCGACTTCTCCTCCCGGTGTCACACGTTTTCGGTTCTACCCTTCCTCCATACCTTTCAGCCCCATTATTGATACCTTGCAGCAAAGCTGTTGTGATTGCAGCGCTGAAAGCGTCTGGATTTTGAATGAACCGAGCAGTGATAGTATTCTGATCAAAAATGAATGCTACACATGCAGGAAGTCAATAATTCATGGGGCCGATGAATAAAATAGATTGGTGTGGCGTGTCGTTATTGGATGGGACTAGCTCTCAAAAATTCTACCCAATTTAAGGAAACGATTCCTATGTATGTTGGGCTGCCTTATGGGAATACACAGTTTCATGATTTTGGTTGCCGGTCGCCGTGGATGAATAATAGACTCTTTCTTAGAATTCATCGTTTTCCTAGTCTATCGTACTGGTACTGAAAACAAAGAAGTGCGGAACGATCATCGGTTTGTCCTATAATGATGTTTGTATCACTTCCTCAAACGTAACGGGATAGAAATCGGATCCTTCTCTAGATCTTTACTTTTATTCATTTGTTTCTTTGATGCGCTGCACACATGAATCATTGTTAGAGGATAATTATTTTTTCTTTGAACATGACAACCTATTGCAATGCGCTTCGCCAAACACTTCCTTGTTCTCCTTCTTCAGCCAGAAAAGCCGTCCGTAACCATACGCCCAGGTCGGCGCCGACGACGACAGCACCAACAGAAAGTGAGTTCCCCTGTGATCCTTCATTAACCTCTTGGAAATATGGATTACTAGCACATTTTATTTTGAAAGCTGTAGGATTCAGTTGTTACCGGTGTTTGATATTCAGCTTGCTTCACTTGACCCATTCGAGCCTTCGGCGATTGTTCTCTTTCATCGCTAGGCGATCTATCCTTTTCCTTCTTTTACCTGTTTGCTTAACGACCTGATTTAGGTGTTCAAAGAGATTGATTTCGTCGCCCGGTTGAATTGATGTTTCTGTCTTGGGTTTTATATCAACAATCCCGATCTCGTACAGGTGAGGCAGTTTGCATTCTGCACCAGTCATTCTCTTCTCAACCCTTGGGATCGCATTCTGTTTGCTTAACCCGACACTGGACAAGGCATTGCGCTGAAAAGATTTGTAAATTTGTCTTGTATTATTTTCACTGGTTTAGCCTACTCCTCCTGCCGAATGCGTTTTATTTTCACGCAGCTGATTAGGAAAATAAATCTTCTCTACTGTTTTCCATTACCCTGTCCTGGATATAGTCATCCGCCTTGCTCCGTGTCATACGGCTCAATCGTCCAGAGTGGTTGTGGATCGTCCTGGGGAGTTTGGCCGCCTCCGTAACCGGTGGAATTCAGCCGATCTTTGCGATTCTATACTCAGAAATGTATTCTGTACGTTCTCACTCTGTTTTTTCCACCCTTGGTGGTCTGTGCGCGTATATATCCAATCAGTATAGATATTCTGAACTCTATGAGAAGCGGGTATTAAATGGGTCGTTGCTATATTGGTCCGATGTTAATCCGAAGAGCATCTTCATTCGGCAATGTACCCACTGTGCGACATCCTCAGCATCCCAATCATGAAAGCGCCGCTCCGCTCACCCCCACTTAGATGGTTTCGCATCCAGATTGGAGTTAGCGTACCACTTCAGGTACTCTTTAGCCCCGGGTCAGCTGCATTAGATGTTCAGACGGTCACTGACTTGAAGATTTATTCATATAGTGTGCTGATATCATCTAAACTGATCTGAGTGTTGAAAAATATGTTTATTAACTAAAAAGCATTGTCTCCAATGCGAATTCTTTGGATGATTTGGTGCTTGTATTCCAGTGAAGCATAAATTTCGAGTTGTTTTAAGGGTCACCTCACGTTACTTTTCGATGCGCAAATTTTGGATTGGGTCCTTTCATCTTGTCAATAATTTCTGATTACACAACGAGGCAAACATTGAGACTTGATTGGTGTGCACGGTCTACCAGTCAGACTTACATAATCTGTGACAAACTCGCCACGAAATCCTATGCATAGCTAGTTTGTGACCCGGTTCATATGCGCATGAACCCGTAAATTGTCGACTCTTAGTATCACCGCACACCGAAATGATTGAATCTGTCGCTCGTAGGCTAATTGCCATTCATTCCATGGACTTCAAATGGGTAACCACACTTGAAAAAAGATAGTATTGAACTTACCAATTGCCTCAAGTACAGAAGCACCTGTTAGGTAGATTGCTTGACGCAGTTGCCCCGAACAACAATGCTTTTATCCCCGTTAAATAATATGGTGATAGACAGGCTGAAATTCCTTAATTCACTGACAACAAAATGGATTCTCTTGATGCTAGTCCTTCTTTTCTGATAAACGCATTTTCCCCTCCTCTCTCTCTCCTAAGATTTTCACCCTGGCAAATGAACCTGATCAAATGCAAAATCGTATCAATCTGATCGCAGGTATTATGGCGCTTCTGGGTCTGATTCGATTGGCCAGTTCCACGTTTCAAGTGAGTTCTTCTGTACCCCATTTCACGTGACTGCATCATTCTTTCTTGTTATGGGAAGTAAAGTGAAAATTGAGAAGTGCAATGTATGTAATGGTATGCAATGGTATAGAAGGTGACAATGAGATGGTCGAGAAGTGAAATTTCTAACGCACCAACATCCGGCTTTGTTTCAGTTCCTTGAACAGTAGTAGTTCCATGCAAACCAGTTAACGAGAAAAATAAAACACAATGCAGTTGAAACAGTCGCGGCTCAAGGGTAAGGGTTTGAGGTTCCAACCCGTACATAGATTCACGTTTCTACTTCTGACTGGGATACAAAAAGTACGCACTGCTGACGAGTCCCAAACACAACGAAACACCTATCCAGTGCTCTTTGTCGGTTATCACAAACATTTCCACCGCATTTAAATGCATTCAACTCGTGGGGTATTAAGGATCTCCCAAGGAGGGAAATCCACATTCAAGATCAACAGTGCCTGGTGTCTGTGAACACCTGCATGGGTTAATCCAAACTTTAACCGTCTAACTATTTGGATTTACTTTGTAGCGGGTAACAGAGGTG